CAAACAAGGTAGGCCTATTGGCAATCAATGTTGATCTAATGCAGGAAACATATATATCTTTCAGGTCTGCCTATATGATTGCCAAACAAATAAATAAATAGGGCTCCACCGAAAGCAAATGGGTAATTCGAACACAGGTTGATGAGTTATGTCTTTTTATTAGTCCCTAAATAGAACTGTTCAATGCCTTGTTCTGCATGACTATTGAAGGACTACTGTACAAGGCCATTATGAAAGGCTTTCCTCAAGAGTGTTCAAATTACTTGAGTAGTAATAATAGTAAGGTTGTTCAATATTAATTATGTTCTTTGTATGATTTGCTCAGTGGGGGAGTTATGAGTTGGTAGAACCAAATCAACAGCAGATTATATGCTTTCAGTTATTACAAGGTGTAACCCATCACTGAAGAGAATGATTTGTTTATTTCAGTTTGTCTGGAAAAGGAAACATCTTTGGAATAGGGAGCCTATTATGTCAAACAAGTGAATTAGTTATGAGCAAGATCGAACCTTTTAATGGGAGACATATTCTTAGCTACAGAGTTATTTTATTAGTGCTTTATAATGAATAGCCAAAATGCTATATGCATGCTAATAGGCAACTAGTTAACAGTGAATGTGTCCCTTAATATACTTGCATTTGTCAATGAGATGTTAAAAAGAAAGCACTATATGGCATATACAATTCTTCTATGATGGGTTACATTTTTAAAACCTAGCACAGAGTGGAAAGATCATGATTCTTTAAATAAGACAAGCTTTCTATCTCAGAGTGTTAGCAGCCAACTGTCAGTCTCTGCACACGACATGTTAACTCGTCTCTTTACTATACAGGAGCATTTTCCGTAGAAGCACATAGGGAGCTTGCATATAAAATGGTGGCACCGTAATTAAGGATATTATCGTTCCTACTCCCATATAATAAAGGACTATTCATCACACTCAGCATAGCATAACATAAAAGGAAATATTGTGAATTGCTTTTTAATCCTGAGCGGGGAAACAAGCGCCTATTCCTTTCTTTTTAAAGCAGATTACTGAATGGAAATGACAGATCGTTATAAATAGTGAAACAAAACTTCAAACTGCTCGATGTAATATAGTGTGCGTTGTTTTCTAATTCCTTTGAACAGTTGTACATTTCCCAAACGATCAAAGCACCCTATTTTCTCTGAAAAAATATATTTCAGCTGGGGGAAAAGCTGCCATCAAAAAAAGCAACTTTCTTTTATAGTTAGTAAGTCCAACACACAGTCTTGTGGCTGAATTATGTATCATACATTTAAAGTGAGGAATCCAAATGTTTGGGAATACCTAAAGCAGGTTGAGCTCTGCCCTCCTGAAATATATATTATAGCATATTCATTGCTCTTTGATCAAGCATTTTCATTCTAACATAGGAAAATGTATTAAGAAAGGGGCCTTATTAAGCTCATTTTCAGGTTGATATTTGTATTCTGTGTCTCTGCTGTGATATGCTTACATGCTTTAATGTTCAGAAAGCTGCAGCACCTCTTTTCACCCTCTGTCTGTTACCAGAGCCAGTCTGCTCTGATTGGTTAGCCGGCCGGCTCTGTTGTGATTGATAAACACGCTACAGTTACGGAGCGTCCACACAGCAGCGTGCGTTGACGCTTGGCGGTGGTCGTGTCTGAAGCTTGGGGATTTTTTGCGAGCAACGCAACCAACAACCAATCACATGAATCTCTCGCCCCCGACATACAAAGCAATAGCAATGTTAAAACGAAGTAAACTGGATATAAAATCCCCAAACAGGCGAAAACCTACCAGTTTCACCCACTGTCTCTGCCTCCTCCCTCCATGCCTGGTTCCTCCGGTTTGTATCCCGGTAGATGAACAGAGACTGATCATACAGCACCGGGTGATTCACTACCGCCATAATGAATTTTCCCTCCATTTTTTGGAATATGAGGAAATGACCTGCGTAGTCTCTCCCAGCATACACGCGGTCTGATTGGCTAGCGCTTGTTCTGGCAGATTTGCATACACGGGATTTCATTGGCTGACGCTTCTGCCGAGGCGCCAAAAGTTGAACATTGCTCAACTTTTGAAGCGAGCAACGCCAGCAACGCTCCACGTCGCTTCCCAAAATGCAGTTCGGCTAAAAGTGACGTCACCCCATTCAAAGTGAATGGGCAGAAGCGTTGGAAGCTTCAACGCACGCCGCTGTGTGGACGGGCCAAAGGAAAATCCCCAAAAGCCTAATAGGGCCCCTTTAATTCCACGTCAGTCTGTGTAACTTCATCTACTGTAGTTTGAAGCTCTGCTGCGTAACGTTGCTTTGTCTAGTTGTCATCATTTTGCACAAGGAATCCTCTGTTTCTGATTCAGATGTGTACAAACTCATTACAAACAGGACCAATTGCATCTCTTTTGTTCACTCTGGTGAATGTGGTTTGTTTTTTATGCACAAAGCAATTGGTCTTCAAAGCCATTCACGCAGTTACAGTGTCAATTAACCATGTGACAATTTTCATGCAGCAATCTTCTGTTCACATAAGTGACGTGTGTTCCTTTTGCTGTTTCGATGACGCATTATAAGCACTGAAAATCAGGTGCTATTTGCATCAGTAAAGGCGTTATCATTTCCTAAACGATCTCTCTCGAGCAAGACTAATGTGATGTTTCATCTCCCTCGCTGTAATAGTCAAATAGTCAGCTCTACTCAACTTGAATCATTTAACGCCTTCCGTACAATAATGCAGGCTAAAGTGCTTCACAGAGCAAGATTTAAAGAGTACAGATACAAATAAAAAAGAACAATAAAATGTCTCACCATCCAGAGCATTTTGAACAAAATGTAAGTGTGCTCGGATTATTACCAGGCGTTGTTCTGAAGCCTTCATTGCATGGTGGTTTAGAACATAAAGATTGATATCTAAGGTAGATATACTGCATATTTATTCAAGAAATGAATTCTGTTCTCAGGCACCACATCTGAGAGCCCCAAACCCCTGTAGCACATAAAACTCGTTTATCATTTGCTTCTTTTACTATTTTCAAATCTCCCCTGTGGGCCGGCGTTAATTTGACCTGCGTACGTCTTCTCTCCGTCTTCACCTAGTTTCCACATTCTCGCTCTTCTTCAATAGACAAGCAGAGGGAGGGAACAGACTGATAACATGTCGAATTTAAATCCTGAAGAAGAAGGACAAGGAATGGCAACGCGGGTCTGTACGAAACAAGACGACGTGATTTGATGAAGCTCAGTTAGAGAAACCGAAAAAAACAACCTCCACACCCTCTGAACTCTGTTGATTGCCCTCCGCTGAGCAGTGATAGGGTGTCAGGGTAAGCAATGCTGGATACAAAAAAACACGTTCCAGCTAGCTCTGCACGCAGGAAGAAGTCGTTGCATTTACTTGCAACATTTCAAAGCTGGCAAGGTCAGTTTTACAGTTTTTAAAACAGGAAATACAATTTAGATGAGACAGTTTGAAAAACCCCCAAGGCAAGATATTTGTACCAAACATGTGTAGTATCTGGAAAGTACAGAAACCAGCCTCTCCATATTATACTACCTTAGCTTCTCTATGTGGAAGGCCACTTTCTAATAGCAAACTCAATTAACTGAATATTAGTTTGAACCAAAATATGTACTCGATGTATGTGAAAGATGATTAAGATGTCTCCTTTTACTGAAATTGATTGATTATGGAAGGTATTGAGAAGAGATGCAGCTTTTTGTTTTTTAATTGTAATACCTTACATGTGCTAAGTAGATTTGCCACTCTTTTCCACCTTTGAGAACACTTCAGTGCAGTTTGGAAATAATCTATCTGCTTCTGTTATAAGGTTATTATGAAGCTTTCTCTGGGTGGTCTGATAATAAGGGCCCAACTCCAGTGGTTGTGTCCCGTGCTTTGACAACAGGTGTGATTTGAATTATTACACCACACGCAGACGTTTGACAGATCTCCCCGCTGGTCTTCATCACTGCACATCTGTCCCGTAGCTACATGCTAAAAAGGCTGATTTCCCTCTAGAAAACCCTCAGTTGCCGCCAGCTGCTGATGAGTCACTTGCTTTCACCAAAAGACACACATGTCTTTCACCAGAAAACATCTCTTTGTCTACTGACTCACTCTATTGTGTTTCTATCTCGTTGTAAAGTAGTCATTTATTTGTTCAATTTGTTCTCAATGCTTGCACTCCATTAATCAGCTATTAGAACATGCTTAAGCATTAGCAAACACTGTGCTGATCCTTTAAGTTAAAATAGTAATTTAAAAACAGAGGTTTATTTATTCCCATATTACATATAATCAAGATGAAACATCAGCACTCTCCCAGACAGACTTTTATCAACACATCTAGGGGGAGATTATGATGTTTTCCTCATTTTGGGTATCTAAAAACGGCTTCTGAGCCATCATTTGTTTGCTCTTTTTCAATGTTAGTCACTAGCTGTTTACTTTCAAACTTGGGAATACATTACTCATTGTTGTTGTTGCTCAGACATTATTTAGTTATTTTGCGTTTGGAGAGTGGACTAGTTTCCATAGTTCGACTCAGCTGCCCACTTCACATTGTCCTGATTTCCCTGAGATCTAAGGAGCTTGAGTTTCTTTTTTTGACACTGCTTTTATAATCATTAATATATATGATTTTTTGTTTGTTGGGTATTCACAGATGTACCCAACAAATTAATAGCACAAAAGGAAGGAACTTAAGTGCTATTACGGGTTTTGGGGCCTCTCAAATATTTATAACAAGATTTTGTGAATTGTCTTGTTTATAAATTAGAAATAAACTCAAATACAGCAACACATATCAGACAATCACTCTGTCAAATCATTTCCATCTACCTACATTTGGAAATGTAAGTAGCTTCCTGGTTTTCTAGATTTGTATAAGAGAAAAGGAAAGTGCATAATATTTCTTATCTTATTCTTGTATTTTAGAGAGATAGAAAGAAGGATCCCATTCCGAAAAGAGAAATGTTTGCTTCAAGCCCCACACTCTGCTTCCCAGACTTACTATGTGCAGCTGAAGATAGTCTCCGAGCCCATGGGTGCTCTCCACTCGCACCAAGATGGCGTCCTTCTGCTGAGTGCTGAAGCCCACGGCTAACCGGTCGGCTCGGGTGCTCGGCCGCTCATTGGGGGCCCAGGTGAAAGTGATGAGAGCCCCCCCTTTCCCAAAAATGTACGTGGTCCCAGCTGGAGACAGAAAAAGAAGAGTGATTTGTTATATATTGTTATTTCTTAAAAGTACCCGTGCCTTGTATAAAGATGAGATTCAGATTCTCCCCCCCCTTTCCAACCCACTGCTCTGACACCAACGTTCATTTTTCAAAATCACGCAGCAAGCAGAGCAAAACCAGGAAGGATGATTTATTAAAGAGGTCGGCTTTGATCTTAAATCACAGTAAAGTAGCCCAATTTACAAAGTATGATGGAGCTTAACATTCACAGATGAAAACAAATGACCACAGTTTTTATCACGATCCCACATGGCTCTCACTGCAAACACTGAGGATAAAGCTTCGCCTGGCAATGATTTCACAAAATAGTAGGTATTTCAGGATGTAGGTTTGGATGGATTAAAGTTTAGTTTATGTGTGTTATTGTATTTAGGTTGGGTTGGATATTCATGCTTATCTAGGATAACACACATGGAACCATTTGAATCATGATTTTAAGGAAAACTTGTATTTTTGATTTATTTCAAAAAGGTCACTCTGAACCGCAGAATACACAAAGGTTAATAAACCTTATTTCAATCATAAAAAGAATAATTTGCTTAGGTATTCAACCTTCGACCCAGTTCATCGTTTTCTCTCGTTACTGTTTCTTTTCCCACAGCATAGTTCTACGGCCTTGGGTATTGCTGCTATCTCTCTTAAGCAGCTTGGGCGCATTGTTGTTGCCAGTCTATGACAGAGCACAAGCCGCCATTAGGTAGTTTACTGTTCAGGGACGAAGGTTCCCTGGCACAAATTATTTTCTATGGACGAGAGCTCTAGTTAGATTCAGGGTCCATAATTGTTTAGTCTCACTGATGAAGAATGTTGATTATTACTCTGAACTAGCTAAAACATCGAGCTGCAGAAGAGTTCTTCAGAATTCGGCAACCGCTGTGTCATCTCGTGACACAACACCTGTCTTGTGAATTCTCCGGCCGTAACTCCAAATAAACCGTCAGTGTTTGCCATCAAAGCTCCAGCTCTCCTCGTGCCTCTCTGAGTCCTGTTTCCAATTGCTTCAGAAGTTTCCCTCACAAAAAGCACCAAATATTTTTTTGTCAGGTCATTGAGCACATCATATTTGAGCTATTTCCCAACATAAATAATATATAATTGACTGTTATCATCCTTCACCTTGTGTCTTCATCATACCATCTGATCTCTTGGTCAAACATAATGTGCAGTAATTGCCTCATATATCAAGCTATTTTATATTTGAAATGCTTACTTCATGATTGCTTATCCACATATTTTGACCTTGTAACTTGTTCACACAGATGCGTCATCAACGCAACATCTTGATACAGTTGTATATGGATTAGCGTTGACCGTCCAGTTCACCTCAACCTATGTTGTAAATGTATTATCTCTTCGATTTACACACAGCATCTATTGCACGTCTGTCCGTCCTGGGAGAGGGATCCCTCCTCTGTTGCTCTCCCTGTGGTTTCTCCCATGTTCCCTTTAAACTGTGGTTTTCTCTGGAAGTTTTTCCTTGTACGATGTGAGGGTCTAAGGACAGAGGGTGTCGTGTTGTCATACTGATATTCTGTACAAACTGTGAAGTCCACTGAGACAAATGTAACATTTGTGATATTGGGCTATATAAATAAACATTGATTGATTGATTGACCTCAATATAAAATGTGAAAAGCTCCAACAGCCGTAACATTTTTATTTAAATCTGATTTAAATTCATCCACCTGCTCATACAGTGTCAAGCAGGTTTATGGAAAAGCGATAGTGTCTACTTTGACTTTATAATGAGTTATTCATCTGCACCCAGAAATATTTCTGTGTCCTCGAGATAAAAGGCATTCTGGTGTTAATCTTTAATTTACAAGTCTTGCTGGAATCGCTGAGATCCCTTAAAAAAAAAAGGTGCTTAATCCATTTTCTGATCGGCACGTAAACGAGACACTTTTTTCTTATAATGTGAAACGATTTATTCCTATTCCCTCAGTCACGTCGGATTGCATGATTACATTTGAATTAGTGGAATTATTTCATTTGGGTGAGAGCAGCAAAATCAGAGCTATTATCCATTTTATACGGTGCATGCAAGTTGAAGTCAGGTCAAAACTAAGTTTGCTTTCTGATGGGATGAGTGTTCTTTTAGAGGAGTACTGCGGGTGTTATAGACTGCAAAGAGAGGCGAACTCCTGTCCTCAATAAACGCATCGCCATTATGTTACAGGAGAAATAATTCTCTTTAATAGCGCACTGCACATTTGGGTCATTCTGGGTTTGTTTTAACACCTGAAGCCTGAGTGTTGTTGTCACGACAACTTGAGTACTCTTTGAAACGGTTGAATGGGCCACTCAGCACATGGGTTGTTATGACGGGATCTAACTGCTTAGCTGGATGCTTCCTTAATGTCCAACACTTCGGACTTACTTTGACTTTAATTGAAATAAAAGTCTTTGAGTCAAACCAAGTATTTCTTACTGAAGTAATCTTAATTCACGCCGGGGATTGGCATTGACAGTAGTTACATCAATGAGTCTTAATGGAGAGGTTGTATTGGTTTCTTCCTTTCAGTGAACGTTATCTGCATCTGGCATTTTAGTAGTTTGCCCTCATTTCTGCTCCTTGTGTTCAGTATCTCTGAGAGTATAGACCTTTTTGCTTTTAACACCAATGTGCTATGGATATTTGGACACAAGATCACAGACCAATGAACATCGTATTCATTCTAATAAAACAGCCCTGCATACAATAATACTACCTGTGTGATAATGTATAAATTGTAGCTCTCAAATATCACACAAATCTAAAAAAAAAAAAAAAAGACAACATTAAGCTTCACACAGGCTATAATACAACATTTCATTACACCGTACAACCCTTAATGATTTCTAGTCTTTTTCTTGTGAAGCAAACAAAAAAAGCAGGCGAGCCATAATGTGGTCAATCTTCTTATTATGAGACCCAAATTAGTCTCATTTCAAATTTCACTGTGCAATAAAGCTTTCAACACAAATTTAAATAGTACACTCAGGAGACTCAATCCTCATGAACTTTATATACTCAATTTCAGATATGTGCAACCAGGCCTGCTTGATCATTACACACGTTGCATTCTTCAATTTTGAGAAGGAAAATGATCTCCATTAGAAAAAGAGGACAATTTCAGCCGTAGCTTCATGTCAGCCATTGAAAAGTATTGAACAAAAAAAAAACCCACACTAGAAAATCATGAAGACATGTGCAACGTTATTTTAGAAAAATGTAATTCTCAAGTGAACATTTAAGATTAAATTAAGACACAAATTAATGTAAAATCAGAGATAGCTAATCACAATTTGATTTTACAATTGATAATGCGTTTTTGCATTAGATACCACTGAAAAAACTGAAACGTTGACTTTAATTAAATGGCTATTACAACTAACCTAATACAGTTATGTGAAATATGTTGGACATAATACATTTAATTAAAGTCAACATTTCAGTTTATCAGTGTAGACATATTAACTATTTGATAGCGTTCATTTGATCAAAACAGTTGTATGATTATAGAGGAGGTTATTTTTCGAGGATTAAAATACTGTTCATTGTGCAAAATAACAACCTACCTCTAAAAGGTGGCAATAATTGTATACAATAAAAATGTATTACAAATGCAATTATTACGAGATGTTCCTATTTTATGACAAAGCCAACACATCAGCTTTATGCTACCATATAAGCTTTTATTTTTTATTGTCCAATTACAGGTTTGGATTTTACATTTTCAGGGAATTCGTAAATCAGATGTTATTGTTTTTTAATTGCTTATTTAATAAGGCTATTAAAACCAATCTCTGGTTTGCAATGAGTTCTTGATTACAATACATAACACAGCCTAAATTCACATATAGGCTACTATAGTATATGTCTTGGTTTGCACATGTGAACACATTAATTACACATTAATATTTCACAACACTGTTAGAAACTAAGATAACGTCTTCTTTCGATGTGAAGGAAACACCTCACAACAAACAGCTCCTGAAGATGAGAGCTGGAGTGTTCTGAGCGTTGCCGTGAGAACACAAAGTCAAAGGGTGAATAAAGGTAACACGCACCCTTGTAATGTGCATCATGAAATATGGAGTGCTAATGTATACCTGCAGTAGCATCTGTCTATAGACGGCAGTAGCTCCTGCATTAGTCATAACGCTGAAGCATTTCATTACACCTCTCTGCCTTTCCTCTTCCACATCATGCTATCTGCTCTCCGTGGCAGACCTGCATCAAATAAAGCAGGCGGTAAATCCGTGTTGTTAAGATTATGACTATAAACATCACAGTCCTCTCCCTTGCAGCAGCTCTCCTCTCTCTCTCATGGGAGCGTTCTGCTTGTCTCTCATGGCCGTACAATGCATCTGTGCTCCAATAACAGCGCTCCTTGGAGACTCTCCACTGCGATGTGTGCTGTATATCACATCATCATTAGTTAGGAGCCTCGGTAGTTAATTATACAGTGTGCAGGCATTGTTATACCCTTGATGCCTACCATATTATTCATGAATATTACATAGGCGGCACGATAAAATATTCACGGTAAAAAAATTAATTCTAGGCATATTAAAAGCCCTCTTTGTTGGTTAAATACATTACAGAGGTCAGCAGTATCAGAGGGCTGCTTTTTACAGGCGCTGCCATGGTGTAAGTGAAGAGGAGAAATTCTATAAAGCAGCCATGATTGGTTGTCGTCGTGTCTTAATAGGTTTTTACACAACAAATGCAACAGTATAGATTCTTTGTTTGTGCCAAGACTCATGCTACCCACACAAACATCCTGTCCTTTTCATTCGAGCTCTCAGCCAGCTGAATACACGACAAACGAGGCATCGTGCTCATAGGACTTGCAAAATACACTGAGACGCTGGGGATAATTTGTATCACACAAAACAGTTTAGACTTGAAAAAGGTGTAAAAGAGCTCCCCTGAGCTTCTTGTTGTAGAATTCGGACAATTCTTCAGGC